GGATGCCGAAATATACTTCAAAATCCCCTGCAAGGGAGAAATCTTTGGATGCTATTCCTACAGCAGGCTGTTCGAGACTTGCTAAATCATCTTTCTCCCTTCCAAACAAACTGTTTTCCAGAGCTGTCCTGCCTTGAGGAGATGGGTTTGGTAGCTGTGAGGCACGTAGGATTGTGATTTTATGTGCTGGAGGTGCGTGGTGTGCTCCAGCACACCTAGCCCAGCTTATTGCTGCAGAGAAGGATGAGATGGAAACCACGCACTCTCCAAAGCAGCGAGACGGGATGAGGCAGGGATCTGCAAGCTGGCAGTCCTTGTGGAGCAGTTTGCTCCTGAGCAGGCAGCAGCATATAAAGTTTTGACATTTCCTGAGATGCCTGATGAGAAAGATGTTCCCCAAGTCACCTGCAGACTGCTGGAGGCCCCTGTGCTGCCCTTTCTCCTGCTAAAAACCCTTCCACCAAGGAGCCATCTCCTCCAAATGTGGATGTCCTCCTGCCAGAAGGAGATCGGGAGGAAAATGTTATGAGGATTTCCCCTTTATTTAGCATTTGGGACTCTCCCAGTATAACAAGCTTTCTGGCTATGGCCCATTCCCCTATCTCCTCCTATGTGCAGGTAAAGATTTATGCAATTCCAGGTGCCAGCCTCACTGAAGAGATTAATGAGAGATAATGTCTTACAAAGAGGTTTATTGAGTTCTCTGAGTTCATTCACCAGCTGTGAAGTGAAACATCTGAAAACAGTTTTTGAATACTAAGTTCTCCCTGGCACCAGTGAAGAAAAAGGAAACAGTGCCTTTTTCTGCCCAAGGTATTTATTCTGCTGGACAGAGCAGGCTTCATGGGCAGAGCTTGCTGGGTTATTAAATGCCTGCTAGCATGGCCCACCTGGGGTGCAGGAGAATGTGCCTGGTGGCAGCGCAAGGTCCTATGGGCAATGGCTTGCAAAGGCGTATTTGAAGAAGCAGGGGAGCCCTGGGGAGCAAGGCAAGAGTGATCACTCACCTATAGCAACGCACTAGGAAATGGATTTGTGGCTATAGCACCCTGGAGACCTTGCTTCTGCTGGCCTTATGGCATGAACTGTTGATTTGGTGAGGCAATATCTCTTCTGCCTCATTATGCTTCAAGGGTAGAGAAGGAAGATCCTTCCTTGGACCTCAGTCTGCTCCAGGAACCTCGTTACAATGGGTCTTGTTGACTTGGTTCTTGGGACACAGGGAAGCTTCTTGGTCCTTCCCTCTGCCCTACCCAAAAGCCAAACTAACTCCACCTGCATGCTGAGCTGGTGCAGAGAGGTCAGAGCCCTCACTGGCATCACCCAGCAAAATACCATGTAAGCCACACAGAGAGGCTGCTTGGCTTACTGCAGCTGGTTTTCCTCCTCAGTGCATGGCTTCTTTGAACAGAAGGCACCCTTGCTTGTGTTGGAGGAAATGGATTGCAATCAGTAAAATGTCTCTTGAAAAAAACATCTTCCCCCCTTTAGCAGCTGGGCAGGTGGCTGCACAGGGGCCTCTAGGGTGCATCTCTGTATGCAAAAACAGATGCCATGAGGCAATAATTATGCTCCTCTCTCATCTCAGGCGCATTTCTACTCTGCCAGTGGATCATTCTACTAATTTTCATCTCCGTTGCACTTAGTGTGCTATGCCCATAATGTGTTTGTGGTTTTGCACAGACATTGGGGTACATTAGCTGGGAAGAGTCATGTGGGAAACCCACAGCTGTAAGGATGGATTTCAGCAGATTATTTACCATTTCCCATGTTACAGCAAGTCCCCAGTGAGACAGGTGGGCTTTTCCTCTGCATACACCACTGGGAAGGACCTGGGCGTTTTCATCTCTTATTTATTTATTTACACTTTGACATCCCTTCCAGACCATGTGCAAAATCACCCTCCTGACAGCATCCCAGGAAGAGGAATGCTGCTTCTTCACATCCTGATGAAGAACTTGCCAGAAATTTTTTTGCAAATGCCTTTTGCTGTAACATCAGGGGAGCTCACATAAAAACAATCTACAGTACTCGCTCTTTCCTATGACTGGTCTATGTCTTCCAGCAGCTATAAAAGAGGGCAATCAATACACCTTGCCAAGGTTTTTTTAATGCTTCTTGAGCCATTATGGTCATAACGCTTCTTCAGGCTGCAGTGTCAATACACTTGAGACATGAACATGTCAAAACCACATAAAATCTTTATTAAGGTGAAGTTAAATGAGCAAGCCCAAATCAGTAACTTAAATGGATATTATCCTTTAAGGATGCCAGACCTAAAAACCAGACACAGCTGAAAAATCCAGGGCATTCAAAGTTAGGATTGTAATTGATGAGAAACTTTAACTTTTGCCAGAGAGCCTGGGCAGGAGGAATTTAGGAGGATGGGAATTGCTGTCAGGGTGCTTCTGGACACTTGCCCTTTGTTTTCTATTGCAGCATTGGCCTGAACTAAAAAAGTGCAGCAAATCTGGGGCAGGCAGGAGGAAAGCAGTTGCTGTTCAGTCTCTCTCTGCTCAACAAATAAACCCAGACTGAACGAAAGATACAAAAATTACTTATTTATATACAGTTTGAGGTGACAGTGCATGGAGCTGTACCGGGTGGCACCAGGATGCACAGCATCCCGTGGGGAGAGCATATGGGTTTCACAAGGGGGGATGGAGAGCCTCTACACCCTGCCCAGTGAAACACAGCCAGACAGCCTCAATCCCTTCAGCGTGGCGCTCCTGCAGCTGGGCTGTGCAGACACAGTGCGCTTGAGGGGGGAAGCAGAGCAGTGCAGAGTAGGAGACAAAGTATCCCCCTGCTCCACTGCCCATGGGACAGCACTTCCCTGTGCCTTGCTGTGGATTCCTGTAGCCAAGGCAGCCTCTGCCCCCCACTCTTTCCTGGGGCTGCTTTAGGAGGTGATGCTCTCCGGTACCCGCAGAGAGCATTTGTCTGGGGTTGGGCTCTAAATGCTCCCCTAACTGCTCCTCTAACTGCTTCCCTAACTGCTCCCCCGGCACCCATGAGCAGCAGCTGTGTCCCAGGTCTTCAATGGAGCCTGGGCTCTGGGAAGTTCCAGGGTGGGAGTGGTAATTACACTTCAAGAAACAGTAGCAGATGTTGGGCTGGGAGAGCAGCCTGGCCCCGAGGCACCCTGCTCTTGACGTGTGGTTTGCAAAGTCTTACCCTGCAAAGAGCCTTGCAGGGCCATCCTTGTACTGCATCGCCCCAGTTCGTGTATTTCTTCTCCAAAGCTCTCCCACGCACTTTCCAGCCCTGCAAAGTCACCAGTGCCAGGCCACGTGGGGAATCTGGCTGCAGGACTGTAGGGTGCTTTTGGCTCAGTGCCTGCCACCCTCCTCCAGTCTTGCACGGGGCTGCAGCATCAGATATTTTCACCTGCCAAAAGCAGACTTTCAGAGGACAAAGCAGGGCATGTGAGAGCTGCCAGGACCCCGGGAAAGAAAAGCTATAGCTCGAGCCTGATTTGGCAACCTTGGCTTGTGGATCAGACCATCACATAGGTCAGTGCAGCAGCAAGGGGCTTGAGCTGCTGCAGGCTGGATGTGAGCTCCCAGGAGGATAAAATATCTTGTTATTCAGCCCGAGGCAGTGAGGAGGTAATACAGATACCATGAGGCTGTTGGGACACAAGAGCTGGGTCCAGGCTCTTCTCACATATGGTGTCAGGCTTGCAGCAGTACAAGCCCATTGCTGCCTCCTTGTCCAAATGTTTGACAGGGGGACTGGACCCAGATGGATTTTTCTGGGCTTGATGTGTCACAACAGCCTGCATGGTTTGCTTTGCTCTACTTACATGTGAGCTCCTATTTTGCAGTACCACAGTGATTGGGACGTGAATGGGTACAGTGCAGCCCATTGCTGCTGCCCAGGGATCATCTGTGGCTGTGCAGGACTGAGAAAATTTGCTGACCTTTGAGAGCAGGAAGGCTCAGAGAGGCTTGAGTTCTGAATCTTCAGAGGGTGCCACTGCTTGGTGTCCCCCGCAAGCTACAGGGTGGACCTGGCTCCTTCAGGGGTTGTCACTTGGCTTGGAAGGAGGTGCAGCTTCAGCACTACCCAGTGACTCAGAACAAGGTAGGACAGCACCATTTGGGCCCCCAAAGCACCGCTGGCCTCCCCTCACCAAGGGCTCCCTTGTGCCCTCAGGCTGTTTTTGAATGGTAGCAAGGGATGCTGCCCCCTTGGATTTTCTACTTGAGGGCTGAGAATTTGCATCCCTTCTGCATTATTATTTTTCTGCTTTTGCTTCAGCAGGTGGGATTCTATAGCTTGCCAGGAGGATTTCGCTTTTCACAAAGGAGCTCCTTTGCCAACACACCTTCCCAGCGGAAAGCTGGAAAATTGCTTGGTTCCAGCCTATTTAGTTTTAATTGTTTCCTTTAGTTCTCATTGCCCATGGCAAAATATCACCTTCCCCTAACAACCAGCCAGGCTGGAAGCCAGTCACCCTGCCCAGCCACCGTGCCATCCCTCCTGCTGGTCCCTCAGCTTCCAGAGGTCTTTGCTGGCAGGGGTGGATTTCAGGGAGGAGGCATCACCCTCAGCAAACACTGGGCAGGGAACAGTTGCACTGCTGCCACTGCTGTGCTCTCTCCATGTCTCCAAGGTCTTTTCTGGCTGCTCTGACTCTCCCCCCTGCTCACAGGCAATTTCCATGCTGCCTTTCCCAGCTAGCTCACCTCTCTCCTGCTTCCCATCCTTCCTCCAGCAGCTGCTGTGGAGGGGCCAGCTTGTAACTTTTCCTTCCAAGATGGCTTTGAAAAGGAAGTGTTGTGTTGCTGAGTAAGAACATGATGCACAGAGCCCCTGGGGACGCTGAACAGCAGAAGATGAGAAAAGCCTCTTCTCCCCCACCTCACCACAGAGCTCATGGTCTTTGAGCACCCCTGAGCTCAGGTGCCTTTATGGGAACGATGCCATGCACCTCATCCCAGGTGAGCATCACCTCCAGGACCTCTGCTCCAGCTCCTGCTTCTAGTGGCACAAGGGGATAAAACACTATTCCCTTTCCACTCAGGCTCCACTCAGGGGGCACGGTCACACATCCTCCCAAGCAACCTTAGCAATAGATCAGGCTCAAGGAATAATATATTGGAATATATTATTATAATACATAATAACGTATTATTCCAATGTGATTGGAATGTATTATAATAATATATAATAATATATTATTCCAGTATAAGGCATGGATGCAGAGCTAGCTATCAGGGTGAGCCAGAACAAAAACATACACAGCGACCTGTCACAGTAACCCCCCAGATAACTGATTTTATCCTCAGGATAAAATATCACTGTATCAGGGTGCAGCCTGGCGCTGGGTGCTGCCTGAGCTGGCACATCCCAGCCAAGGGCTGCACAGCACTATGCCAGAGATTTTCCTGAAGGTTTTCCTCTGCTCAGTTCTGGGGAAGAGCTATAAAACAGAAGCTCATAAATTAATGACCTAAAGAGCAGCAGAATGCTATTAGATACTAGGGAGTTAATTGCACTGATGCTAATCGCATGTATTTTAATGGAACCAGTAGAGATGTAATATGTAATTCCATAGGTATTCCAGAATAATTTAGCAATTTAATTAATTTCTGCTAATACCTTTTAAATCACCTGCCCTCTTCCTCTTGTGTTCTCTGAGGAAAAGGGGAAAGAAACTTTTCCAGTTGCTAAATCTATTGCAATCTCACTATTACTGGCAAAGATATAATTTTATTTCTCAATGGATTTATTACCATAGAGTCATCCCTGGGTGACAGGGTGGCCAAGCAGGACTATGATAGTCTGGTCCTAAATTTGGAAGTCTGGATAAGGGCTGGTTGAAATGTCTTGGACAGATCATGATGGGCTGAAAAGATGGAAACAGAAATGATTTGTGGATTTAGGTCAAATTCAGTGAGAAGAGTCAAGAGAAAATGTGGAAGAGAAATGTAAACAGCACCAGGCATTTTATTCCATCTCCTCAATATGAAATGTTTGGTTTAGAAAAAGCAAAAATATCCCACTTTGGCATGTTTGAGATGCAAGTTTTCTGCTTGTCTCTTTGTGCCTCCCACCAGGCTCAGGCAACTGCGAGGCACCCAGTCCCAGGGCAGCATTTCAGCTGGAAAAATTATTTATTTCCTTCTTGAATCCACTGCTCAATGACTTCAGGGCACAGCACCTTGTAACAGCACTTGGTGGTCCAGGGGAGACGAACAGAGGAGGAGACAAGTGATTAGGATTGCATGGGAGCCACTACCATCCCTCCCCACACTGGCAGGAAAAAGACCACCAGAAACCATTGCTCTCATGGGGCTTTTATTATCTGCTCGGCTCTCACCTCCCACCCTGCTGCTCATGGCCAGCTGAGCCCATCAGCACCACCCATGCCAGCTGGGGAGACCCCAGCTCGGCCATCCCCAATCCCAGCCACCTGCTCAGGGCACCACATCCTTCCAGGCTCCTTTTTGGGGATTTTTTTTTTTTTTCCAAATGTTTATTTTAAAAATATAGTAGCTGTGGAAAGCAGCCCTCTTTAAAAACACTCAGTGCCCGAGTGAAATGCATCATCGCCATCCTTATTTCTAAGCCCTCCCAGGTGCCTGTTCCCGCCGGCAGCAGTGCTGGGGGCCCGGAGCATCTGCACCGGCTGCTGCAGGCAGGGAGGCTCACGATGGCAGGGAGACAGAGAGGGACCCTTCTAAAAATAGAAACATTGTGCTGAGTTGTTCGGAGTCAATGAAATACATAAAACACCAGCATTAGATTAGCTTCAGCTTGTCAAATATTGCTCCCATCAGAGTTGGCGTAGTGCAGTGTGGAGGTACAGCCCCCCTCGTCCCAGGGCAGGAGAGCCATGCCAGCCTCCCCCACTGCTCCCCGCTGCAGGGCTTCCTGCTCTTGCCCTCCACAAGGACACTGGCCCCCAGGGCAGCCCAGGAGCCCCCGGGGCCAATATAAATAGGAAACTGTAAACACAACCATTGGAGATAAGAGACAGCTACAATCACAGGGTTTACTGCTTCAAATGTCCCACCCTCCCCTCCCACCCCTCCCCCCTTATCCACACCCCTATGCCCCTGTCCCCACTCCATAAAAAGGACTCCAGTAACAAAATCTTCGATCCAGGCTTGGAGTAAAGGTGAGGTGCTGGGGGAGTAGAAAGGGACATTGCAACCTTAGCGGTCTTTGCTCGGGAGGGGAGACTGTGGCAGGAGGGAGAAAGAGGGTTAGCTGGTTCAGGTCGTTTGCAAGTACATTTGGTTTGTCTGGAGGACTCCTAGGGTTATACCTGAGATGAAGACGTCTAGAGGACACTCCACAGCTCAATTAAAACGCGGTTGGTGTTTCTGTGCCTAGAAGAGCCCTCCCTGCCGGGATTTGTCGGTCGCGCTCGCGCCAGGCAGCGAGGAAGCAACATCCCTCCTCTGCTCAGCACGGGGCTATCTGAACCAAGGCTTGGCTGGGGGGGTCCCTCATGTGTCAAGGATCTCGCTGGTGGGCGATGGCTCATGAGGGATGCCCTGCGTGCTGTGGATGGTCTGGTTGTGCGAGAGGGAGTTCTGCTGGAGCTCCAGGGCAATGGCATTCTGGGGGAACTCCTTCACCTGCCGCTTGTACTCCAGGAAAGTACACGCCTTGGTGGCGATTGCGATGATGTTCTTGCCAATAAAGATAGTGGAGACCCTGCTGTCCTGGAACAAGATCATGTTGATGGCCCGGATGAAGATGGTGACGATGTTAATGGTGACCAGGCTGAGGACAGGGTAGAGCATCATTTTTTGCGGGGCAATGTGCTCCCCTTGCATGCTGATCTCACTGAGGGACACGCAAGGCAGGATCAGGAGGAGTATGTAGCAGTAGAAGAACATGAGCCCCTCTGCCCAGATGGGCAGGCCAGTCCTTTGTGGCTCCCACAGATTGGCCTGTATGTCCAAAATATCCAGCAGGTCGAGGGCCACCCAGAAGAGGCGGCCCCGCAAGTCCTCTTTCTTCCGAAAGGTCCGTATGTATTCCATGCTGTCCAAGGCCACCAGCACCAGGTAGAGCCCTGGCACACAGATGGAGAGCAGTAGGGTCAGGGCTTTCCTGGCCACCGTCTCCAGGTTCTTCTTGTCTGCTTTGTAATTCTGAAAGATGAAATACAGCTTGATCTCCAGCACAAAGATGTAGAGGAACCAGAGGATCATGGCGTAGCCCCGCTTGGCTGTCTTCACCTCGGCCCCCACCCACACGGCCACGTAACGCAGCACGATGAGGAAGCAGATGTCCCCCACCAGCACGATGATGCACACACCGATCTTGCGGGGCCCCTGGTTCTGCTCCACCAGGTAGGCGTCCATGAAGGCCATGCTGGTCATGATGACGATGGTGGTCAGACAGACGTGGCGCTTGTCAGGGGGTGGCAGCACCATGGTGAGACGAGCAGCCCTCCGTCCCTCCGCACCAGCACTAGGGGAGCGGTCCTGCCGGCGGCGCACCGAGGGACATCCACGGTGAGCCCAGGGACCGAGGGTCGCCGTGTCCGCCACCCCCACCCCAGGAAGAGGTGCCTGGAGCAGCACTGGCTCTGCTGGCAGCCCTGGTCTCCCAGAGCTCTGGGCTGTCCCTGCAGGCCCTACCCCAGCTCTTCGCCCTTCGCTGGCTGTGCCCTGCAAGCACCGCGGCTCTGCCCCCAGCCCAGGGCTGGGTGAGCAGCCCAGCCCCAGGCACCCTCCGCCACCAGCAGCCAGGGCTCACGGACGTGCAGGCCCTCCTGAAGGAATGTCCCTCCTCTGTAATGCATCCCCCATCGCTGTCAGGCTCTCCAGCAATCCTATGGCACTAATATACTTCCAGGGCTCTAAGCTCCAAATCCTGGTATAAATCCCTGGAAGCACAGTAGGTGAACGGGCAGCAGGCAGAGAGGAGCTCTCCTTCTTCCCAGCAAGACTCCACGTTCCTCCAGGGCCTGGGGGGCGTCCCACTGTGCCACAAGGAACCACCTTCACACCTATCCCCGCAGGGCTGTGCTGGGCTCCTGCTGCTCTGAGCTGTACATGCATCCCTCCATCCCTGGAAAAGATAGAGAATGAGTGTTAGGGTCCCTGTGTGTGGGATGGGATGGTGAGGATGACATCCCCCTCAGCTTCCAGCACAACTTGGCATGAACCGGGCTCCCACCAAGTACTATCCCACCACAGGGGTATCCACCACTGTGCCCTGTGTGTGACGATGCAGAACAGCTTTTTATTGGCTATGAACACAGCACAGGGTGTCCTGCATGGAAACATAGCGTGCTGTCCTTACACAGGCGCTTTCTGTCCAAAACTCCTTGGCAAGCTCATGCCCTGGGTGCTCCTGCTGTCTCTGCAGGAGACACACGAAACCACAATGCCAGCAGAGACAGGCAGGCTCACAGCACCCCAGCTCCAGGTATCCCAGCCCAGCCATGTCTCAGCTGCAGTGCAGAGAGAGACTCAAGTGCTCTGCAGAGGTCCCAGCCTGAGGACAGTTCAGCTGAATTATGGCCATGGTATTTTACTAGTTCCTGAGCCAGCTCACAGGGTGTGGGGGACATCTCTCCTCGAGTAAAGGCAAGGTTAGGGCTGGCACACGGGGGATGAAGCAAAGCTGTCCCAGTGGTGGCATGAGGTCCCAGCAGCTTTCTGGACTGGCTCACAGCCACAGCTCCTTTTTGCCATGCCTAATTAACTTGTTAATCTTTTCTGTGCAGGAAACACACTCCCAGAAGTGAACAGATCCCAGTGCACTCAAGAGTGCTATCAAACTGCTTAAATGGAGATAGATCATGATCACAACCAGAGACACCCATCACAAGTCATGTGACAGCTAGTCCTGTGTGCACAGCAGCTCCCAGGAAGTGTGTGACCCCACAGATCCTCGTACAGAGCACCCCAACTCATCCTCTGGGGCTTGGCCCCTGTGGTCGTGTACTCCCATGGATCCTCATCTCTCATGCAACCAGCGCCTTGCCAGTCCTCCACACCACACCCACTGGTGGAAATGCTGCATCTGCGAGCACTCCCTGCCCAGCCTGCTGGTGTTAGGCTGAGTCCTGACCTGGATTTGGAGGGCTGCTAAGGTGCCAGCCTGAACTCTGCACATTCCCTGGGGCTCGGGAGCATCCCTTCTAATGGGAGGGGAACCAGGACCTGTTGAGAGCCCTGGGAGCTGCCAGAGACACTCAGTGGTGCTGTTCCTGTTCCCCATCACTAGCTTAGCAAGGACACTTGCAAACCTGAGCGCTCTCATCTTTCAGGTGGAACTGAAGATAGAAGGGAAGAAGCCAAGCCCAAGGAGATGTAAGCCATTAAAAACCTGCCCTACTTTGCAGCTGCTTATGTTTATGGAGCCTCATTTAAATTAAAGCTGGATTCTCTCCTGCTTCAGGGAGAAAAAAAGAACAAAGAAGAGAAAGTGGGAAGCCAGATGAGTCAGAGCCAGCCCTGCCGTGTGCCTGAGTAGGTGGACAGCGGGGAAGTGTGTACCTGTGCCCTTGTTCCCAAGGGATGTGGCAGGAGAGGATGCAGCGCTCAATAAACGTCACAGCACAGGACTTCAAGATGCTGCCCCAGCCAGGACCTTCAGTTGCTCTTCTGCTGCCCTACTCATGCCCAGCAGAGAAAACTGGTGTATTAAAATAATTTCTCAAGCAAGAATTGCTCAGAAAGAAGCCTCAAGTGATGTGGGAAGTCATGAATACTGCTACATGGTGCTTCCCAGGCAAGGCATTCCCTGCAGCCCCGCTCTCAGCAGCCCAGTTCTCTGCAACATCTCGTAGCTGCTGTTTGGGGCTTCAGTTTGTTCTTTCTTGAGCTTTCAGATAAAAATATACAGCCATTGCTGTAACTGCTTTGAGACTCATGCCAAGTTTTACAGGGGATTTATAGCCAAGGATGGATAATTCCAGATAAATTAGGTCTTTCAGGAGGGAATGGTGGGTTTTTTCTTTCACCCTGCAAGTATTTATGCCTTCAAAAGACAGCATTTATTTAAAGGGCAATGGGTTGCAGCACAGCACGGGAAGGTTAGGAAGCAGCTTGCTTGTAAATCCTGCCCTCTGCCCTGTGCGTTACTCGTGTGTTCTGGGAAGCTGGGGGAAGGCACAGCTCCCAGTCCAAGCTCTCCTCATGCCTACATGAAAGCAGGCTCAAAACCCCTTCCTGCCTCTCAGTGAATACCCAGGGCGTTGAATGCTGTTAATTCACGGTGTTTACAGCAGCAGCCAACAAGTCTTTAACCACCGGTGGTGAGGAGATCAAATGGCAAATTCTTCCCTCGCATCTACTCCCGAACGACCCGCGGCAGCTTAGGATGGGTTTGATAAATGTGTCCATTTGTTGCCGTGACCTTTTGGAGCAGAGGAAGGGGATTGCAGGACCGAGCTGAATCAGAGGGCTCGAGCGCTGCTTCCTCTTGGGTTAAATCGTACATTACCCAGGGTAAGCAATTCCCTTGCCTTTTGCAAACAGTTTCTAAGCACTTGCTGTGGTGCAGGCTCTCCTCCTTAATTGCCAGCTGTGCAATAGCTGTTTCCCCCACCTCTTGCAGCCCCAGTGCTCTCTGGAAATACGTCTCTGCCCATCCATGGAGCAGACCTTGCCCATTTGATTGATGTGGGACCATCCTACCAGGTTGGGGGCACGTAAAACTCTCAGAGGACTGTTAGAGAAAAGCAGGTAGTTTTGAAACAACCATTACTCCAGGAAATCCTGATTCATAACTTTTAAATTACTGCATCTGACAATACATTCAGAAAGTGTTTGAAAACTGTGCTGGATAAACAAGACAATGAGCATAACAGAGAGACACAAGAGCACATCAGAGGCAAATATTTGTTTAGACAAGTAATCACAAAACTTTCTTCCTGCAGAAATTCTTGTAAATAAAAGGCAGCTCACCTGAACATAACAAGCTTGGAGCGTTATGTCAGTGAGCTAAACTGGCAGCTTCCTTTGGGATGGGATTTAACAGCCTATATATCCTGCCTGGTGCCAGTACTCCCATGAGCAAGTACTGCAGCGATGCTTCAGTCTTGGCAACCACGGGCCTCCTTACCCGGACAAAATTCAATCCCTAACTGCATATTCTCCTCTAATTCTACCCTACACAATCAGCTCCACTACACTAGAGCAAGAAAATACCCTCAACAACACCCACAGCACCTTCAGACCAGCTGACGAGCCTCAGCCCAAGAGCAGCATCCAGCCCCACCAGTGAAGACCAGCATCGTGTCCCCTCTCCATCTCTGGGGTGTGCTTGGGAATAACCCATTTCCCAGCCCAGCCTGCCGTTTCCCAGCTTCCCTGAAGGATGGGAGAGGTTTCAGTGGGAATGCGTGAGCTGTGATTTCCTGGAAAGATTCAGGGGTCCTGCAGATGGGTCCAAACACAACTGAAGGGCAGTGTTTGCACTCTCAGCTCTGCCCTGTTTCCTCTGGCACCAAGGGGAAGTGAGCAGCATCAGTGCAAGCCAGCCCCTCCCCTATTACTCTGGTGACTCTGCTCTGGCTGAGGAATTGTTTCTTGGTCTTGCACCAATTTTTTCAGCCTTCCCGGATGCTATAAAGCACCTGTGGTTACCCAAGGACGTGCGGTCACAGCCTTGCTTCACCACCAGCCCAGGCAGTTCGGAAGAAAATTGAACTGTGCCTTTTCCTGCAATGCCGGTGGCTCATTGCGGTGTGATTAATTACCACCAGCTCCGCCCTTACCGGCGTCTGCAACCCGCAGACACCCATCCCAGTGCCCTCCTGCATCATCTCCTGCCTCTGCTCCCCGCCCGTGCTTAGCACCACTTGGCACAGCACCAGGCACTGCATCCAAGAGCGGTGGGAGTGCAGGGACATGCCGGCATCCCCACGCACCTCCACAAATCCCATCTCCCCTGCTGGGGAGCAAGGGGCCGCAGACAAGCCTGGAGGGCTTGTGGAGCCACTGGCAAAACAGTCTCATTAATGCCAGCAGGCGCTTCCCAAACCCCGGCTCTACCTGGCAAATTAATTTAAATTATTAATGTAATTTGAATTCTGTCTATTAAAAAAAAAAAAAAAAAAAGGGAGGGGGAGAGTGAGACAGAAGTATACAAAACACACTTCCCAGGTAGTTAGGAAGCCGCATTGCTTAAGGCTTCATTTGCACTTTAATTGCTTTGATTTATTCCAGCTTTCCTGAGTGTAAATCCGAAGCTCCCCTTCACTCAGTCCTTCAGCCCCCCGGAGAGCTGCCGCTCCACCAAGCCCTTTTGCTGGCTGGCAGCACCCACCCTGCCATGCCCTGTCCCCCGTGTGAGGCAGGAGGAGGACTTGCCGGGGACCAGGGGGCAGCTGCAGCAGGGCCACCAAGGCGATGGCATTGCTCTCTGGCAGCCGGCTGTGCTCCAGGGAGCAGCTGAATTGCAGCCAAGCGATCTGCTCTTGGCAGAGGTCAGGGCAAGGAAGCCTGTTCAAGGCCGTTCATCACTTACATGATTTGTGACCCCGCAACTATTTGTGAGCTCCATGCACGACGTAAGGATGGGGCTTATAGGCAGGGCAAATTTTCCTCTGACTGAGAAAAAAACTACAAACCATGTTGTCCCCATGCCACTGCATGTTCCTGCAGTTCCTGCATATTCCTCACTGACAGTCAGTGCTGGTGAGTGTTTGGTTGACTGACCTGCAGCTCAGATTTCACCTGCCCCCCAGGCAGTCCCTGGGGACTGACAGGAGGAGGATGATCATACCCTGCGGGAGGTTGCTGCCCGGCAGCGGCTGCACTCTGCTCCTTCAAGGCATCCGGGATCTCAAGTGCATCCTGTGAAGGAAATGAGATTGAGGAAGATTTTTCCGGACCCTGCCCACTAATTGTGTCAGAAGGAGGAAACAGCCCACTTGCTAATGATTACAGATAATTTACTGTGTAGGCACATTAAGAAATGGGGAAAGAGCTGCAAACTGTTCCCAGAACCTGCCCAAAATAAACAATGCAATGTCAGACAAAACCAGCTACTGCAGAGAGTGCATCAGCTGCGCTCTCACGATGCAAACACCCTCAGTCCC